AAAAGAGCAAGAGCAGGGAAGAGTTTATCCTTTCTCTGAAGGATTGTGGATTTTCCTGCATGGATTTTTTTTGGTATGAAAATGCTGGACAGAATGTGTTTGTACGTTATCCTGTGAATGGTATGAGATTTATGAAGGGTCTGCTGCTCCGCTGGAAAATATTTGGTTTATTGCCCATTAATCAAAAAAACTGCTTGAAAACTACTCATGTAAACTGCTCATATCTTAGCAAAAATTGGGCAAATTATTTGCCTGCAGGATAATAAAAAGGCAGACTGGTGGGAGCTTTTCCTGCTTTTATTCTCCATGGTGACAACTCAAAGGCAACGACTTCAATACTGTACGCATGGAAAATGTCTAATGCTTGGTAATTGGGGATGTGGATGTCTCCCAAAAAGCTATAAAAGTGTTACATTTTCATTATAGAGTACTGTTACGTCCTTCTCCCCCTCATATTGAAAAAGTTCATTACAGGGGAGGACAATCTAAGTAAAAGAACAGCAGCAAAGAAAGCCACTCACTCACTGTGTAATGGCTGGGAAATGGCTGTGGCAGGCAGCAACAGAGGCAGGAAAAAAGCCCAGACCATCTGTAAACAGCAAGAGGATTGTACCCCTGGGCCAGGGCTCAAGTTTCCCTGGACTTAATTTTGCTTTTAAAGCCAAGCCCGTCGACTTCTACTTCACACTTCTAACCCACATGTAAGTAACAGCGCCTTGGAACTCTGTTTGCTGCTCTCTCTGCCACTGCTCTCACCAAGGACAACGAAACCTGAATGCATTTGCTCCTGCTGTTTGCACTCCACAGCTCTGACTGCAGCTGCCCTGGGGTTGAAAACAACACTGACCCCTTTTGAAATTATGTTCAGCTTTAATTTTTAAAAATGTTTCCAATAGCACCCCTGCTTGGGTTTGATAGAATATCTGGAGAGCCTGGGGTTTTGTCGTGGGCATTCTGTAATTTTTGTTTTTATAGGGGGTAAAAGTGCCTTTTTACAAAATGCCACTCATTCTACATCCAAACTGGTTGGAACCCCTAGGCACCACACTGAAGGCTGACTGGAAATAGCCAAAGGAAAGCAGAGGGGTCAGAGAGGCATTACAAGCATGACAAAAATTGACAAGCAAAAGGGAGAGGGGGTGATGGCCTCCCCTGGCAAAGGCCCCTGTGCAGGCAGGGGTGAATGTCAGAAAGAATTACAAAGGTCACAAGAGAATTCATATGGGAATCATGGCAGGTTCCTTCCTTTAGTATTAGCTAACTTTATTCTTTAGATTTTTGCTGTTCCTAATGCTGGTAAATCCAGCTGGCATTTTTGAGATCACATCAAAATGTTTCTTCACATTATGCAATAGATTCCTTTTCTGATCTTCCAGGAAATGAGAAAGGGACTTCAGAAGCCCCAGGTGACTGTGAGGGTGGTTTCAACATCACAGCTGTTGTAGAAAGCACGTACAGCCAGTAGAGCCTGATGGAGATGCTACACCACAGAGGTTTCTGGAATTTTAGGGGCAAATCTGAAGCACCTGGCAGATGCCAAAGGTGTCTTTGCTCCTGGATTTTACTTTGCTCCAGTAAAAAATGGGCTAAAACCTTTTAGCTTTTATTTCCACATGTTCCAAACCCTGTACTTGGCAACCAAGAACGGATCTTCACACGCATCTTGCGCCTGGAGAAAAAGACAGCTCCATGCAGCTTCTCAACAATCTCCACATCATTAAAATTATTTTCAGAATATCCCAGGCATGATAAACACCGTGGTGCTGCATTTATGTACCTGGAACAGTTTGTAGCAAGGTTTGACTTCTCAAATATTTTGTGATTGCTCCTTCTCAGGGATCTCTCCCAGCAGCTGTCCTTTGTTTCTCAGAGGTGCAGCTCTGGGGTGCACTGCTGATGGCCACCCCTGACCCAACTCCAGTAACAAAAGTGGGGATGTTACAGCTCCAGTCCATATGCCAGCAAAAAGACCTGAGTAATTCTGGCTGCCCATTTCAGCTTATAAATGTGGAGAGTTTCTCAAAAATTTGAACTATTCAAAGTGCTAATTTTGTTAATTTTCCATTTCAGTGGAAATGGAGTGTTCTGAGGATATTCACACTGAAGCCACCCATTGGAACTTTTACAATGTACTTTAAAGGAATAATGGGATTGAAGAGAAGTAATTACCACTGGCATTTATTTTCCCATTCCATTATGTCAAAACCTTTTTTTTTTCAGTAGCCCAGATCACTTTTTTTGACACCACAGTCTAATCTACTGCTAAAGCTTGATCCTGCTTTTGCTCTAGGGGCTATCTTAAATTTTTACAGGATTCTCTCATCATCTGTTCTCTTAGCAAGTCACTGTTGTGATGCTGTGATTTTAAAACCACAAAACTCTCCGTGTCCTTGACATGACCCAGACATCCATATCCAGTAAGAAAAGGATTTTAATTTTATGCCAGCAATAAAAATTCATCACTGGAACACTTATAATTTGAGACTACATAATAACCAGGCTCATTTATTTCCCAGTGCCAGCATTCTGCAGGTGCTCTGAAAGACACAAACCATTACTCCTCTCCTGAAACATGAGGCTCCTCTCGAGCTGTCTGTCAGTCTCTGGGCCCCTGCTCCCCTGCTGCAGGAGTCACAGGTCATTAGGGCTGTGTAGCTGTGCAGATATTCTAGTCACCCCTCACTTCTTGATTTGGTCCATTTGTTGCTGCTGCAGACACACTTCTAATGGGAAAAATAAAGGTGGCCTTAGGACAGACATGATCAGTAACTGAAAATTCCTGCAGATTTGTACAGAGAGATATGAAATACAAAATTTTAGAGCAAGGTTGCTGCTGCTCATATCTGACTTCAGGGAATTAAGACCTCCTTTTTTTTCCTGCAGCTGAAACTTATCATCTGGTAAAATTCACAGAATCACTAGTCATAAAATCTTCAATACTTTTCCAAGTACCTGGATTCAAGAGATGTTTCCAAATTTAATTGTACAATTAAAACAGTTTTCTTAAAAGAATTAGCTTGCAACTACTTATTTATAAGCTAGATACACAAATGGCAACTCCTTACACACAGTGTACAGATGCCCTAAAGTACCAGCACTGAACAAACAAAACTGACTCAAATAAATGAAGACTTGTATTTTTAATACACACAACTCATTCCTGAGGGCTTGATCAAATAAACTACAGTGACTGAGATAAGGGACAGAACATAACTGAAATGAGAAGATTGTAATGCTTAGGCTTTCAGTATGATTTAAAAGATAGAGGTATTCAGAGACTGTAAAACCACTGGTTTGGGCCCTTTCTGGCATAGTCAGATGCACTTTCAAATTTCTACGTCAACTGTTTCCTGGGTCTGATGGAAATGATAGCAGGCTAAGATCCCTTGAAATTCATGGCACAGGGGTTGCCAAGGTTTTCAGACTAACAAAACATCAACTTGCTAGAATCCTCATATGTCAGGAACGAAATGTTTGATTTAAAACAGCACATAGTGTAGCTCTGTAGACTTCTCAAGGCCTCAGAGACCTCAGATGGCAGCCACTTGCCCACCTCTTGCAAACTGTGCTGTGATTTTCCTAAGAACAAACAATTAATGGTAAAAAAATAAAAATAAAAATGAAAATACTTAAATGTTAGTCTCTCCAGCCATAATACAGGTAGATGGTAAATGCAGTTGCTAAATTGCTCTCCCTCTTTGAAAAGTCATGGCACTCAGGCAGTCAGGTCCCCAGAGACTGGTAAAAGGGAAACATCAGACCCATTTTAAAGGGATAAAAGAACAGGGCCCTGGGAACTCTTGACCAGTCAGCCTCACCTCTGTGCCCTGAAAGATCCTCCTGGAAGCCACCTCAAGGCATATGGATGGGAGAAAAGTGATTAAAGACAGCTGGCTTGGCTTCACCAAGGACAAATCACACCTGCTTACTTTGAGACCTTCTATGACAGAGTGACTGCGCTGGTGGATAAGGAAAATCCATCTGATGTCATGCACCTTGACTTCTGGCCTTTGACAGTCCCACACAACATTTCATTTCTAAACTGGAGAGGGATGAGTTTGGTGGATGACTACCTGATGGACAAGGAATTGGCTGGATGGCCACATGCACAGCACCACTCAGTGGCTCAGTGTCCAAAAGGACACCAGTAACAAGCGGTGTCCCTCAAGGACCTGCAGCAAGGCTGACGCCGTTGGACCTTCATTAACGGCACGACAGTGGGACTGAGTGCCCTCTCAGCAGTCTGTGGGTGACACCAAGCTCAATGATGCCATGGAGTCACTGGAGGCAAGGGAAGCCATCCAGATTGACCCTGTCACAGGCTCAAGGAGTGGGCCCATGAGAACCTCATGAAGTTCAACACAGCCAAGTGTGGGGTGCTACACCTGAGTCAGGGCAACCCCTGGTATTGATGCACACTGGGGGAAGAATGGACTGGGAGCCCTGAGAAGGACTTGGGGAACTAGATGATCTTTAAGGTCTCTTCCAAACCATTCTACAATTCTAAGATTTTATAGTGGTGGATGAAGACTGGACAGGAGCCAGCCACATGCTCTCACAGCCCAGAAAGCCAACCATATCCTGAGATGCGTCAGGTGAGTGACCAGCAGGCCAAGGAGTGGAATTTCCCTCTCCTCCATTCTCTTGAGACCCCACACAGAGTACTGTGTTCAACTCTGGGGCCAGCCACATAAAGACATGGACCTGTTAGAGCAGGTCCAGAGGAGGGAGACAAAAACGGTCAGAGGGGCTGGAACACCTCTTCTATAAAGACAGGCTGAGAGAGTTGGGGCTGTGGAGAAAAGAAGGCTCCATGGAGCTTCCAGTGAATAAAGGGACCTACAAGAAAGCTGGAGATGGACTTTTTACCAGGACATTGATTTTCAAGTAAAATAGGGTAATTTTAGATTAGATACGAGGAAGAAATTCTTTACTGTGAGGGTGGTGAGACACTGCAACATGTTGCCCAGAGAAGCTGCAGATGTCCCATCCCTGGAAGTGCTCAAGGTCCAGTTGGATGGGGCTTTGAGCAACCTCATATGTGGAAGATGTCCCTTCCCATGGCAGAGGGTTGAAACTTTAAATGTTGAAATCTTTGAAGGCTACCTCCTGCACAAAAAATTCTGCAATTCCACAATTGTATGTTCCTGCTGGCTAATCCCTCTCTGGCCAGGAAGACCCAGGACTGGGATTTCCAAAACATCAGTAGAGGAGTATGTGAGAAGAACATCATCCTTTCATCAATTCACCTTCTCACATGAAAACTGTCATCAAATCCATGGAGATTATTTTTCCTCTCCCCTGACCATTCCTGGTGGGTGAACTATCTTGCAAAGGAGTAATACAGAAATTAATCTATCATTTTTATGGAGAATTGCAGTGATGTTAAAATACCTTGTGTCCCAAACAGTACTGCCAGTATGAGCATGTGAGGCCAGACAGCTTCCCAAATTCCCAGAGGAACAACAAAGATGTCATTTCAGAGGCTGATAATGTCCGTAACAACAGGGCACTAAGTTGTTTCTAGGTGTAATAGGAATCAAGATACTGGAGCTTAAAATGTTCCCATCATCTTTCCTCACATGATGATTTTAGCAGCTAAATACATGACTGCATAATACCCTATGAAAACCAGAATATCAGGCTTCCAAATGGTGTGAAGCACTCACTTTTAAATAAAGCTATGCCTGAGACAACAGCCACTAAAACCACATCCCAACCAAAGTGAATGGAATGGTTTTAAGTGAAAAGGGTAACTTTCAAAGCTTGTATCCATCCACAGTGCTTGTTCTTTTCCACTGCTGTTACTGCTCTCTTCAGTAGTACTTTCTTCTGGGAAACTGTTCCCAGAAAGGAGTGATACCAGTGGCACAGGATGAAGGTCTGCAGCTGCCCTCTCATTGAGACTGTCCCCTTCTTGCTTCCTTGAAACAAAAAGGCCACTCACGAGAGTGGCAGAGGGGTCTGGTGGTGCTGAAAGCAGAGCACTAGGAAGGCTAGAGCACTGCTTTTAAAACAGTGGAGTAGGTACTCCAGCTTGAAGCTCTACAGAGTCACAGTTGAGCTGCAGGGAAATGCAACAGCATCAAAACAAAACACAGTTGGGGGCAGGGGGGAAACAAATCATGCTCTCATTACAATAAAAGCTACTTTGACCCACTTTCAAAACAATACATCCATCTCACCTGCAACTCTCATCACACAACAAACAGAACTAAATATATTGAACAAATCAGCTCATAATTGTCCCTTCCCCATTCAGCCCTTATCAAGGTAACATCTCATCAGTCATTTTCTTACAGTGTCTGAAAGACTGTGGATTTTCTTTCGTGATTTAGGGCCTGATCAGCTGAAGATAGTCTGCAGTTGTAAGAACAAGGCCTCCTCCCAGCACGGGAATGATACAGAAAAGGCTTTAAGTATGGAGACAATTTTGATTCAGAGAACTGAGACAGAGAGAGCAAGAGGCACACACGCCTCCCTCTGCACGTGGGACAGAGAGAGAGGCACAAAGGCAGCCTCACTTGTAGTTCAGGGCTGCAGGGAGGGCTGCAGGGGCAGTAGGGATGTGGCTGCTGTCCAGTGCAGAATGGAGGGCACTGGAAAACAGGGTCCCAAAGAGACCCCTAGCCTCATTTTCTGGGCAGACTCCCAGAGCCTCTGAGATCAAGTGCTGTCCATGGGAGTCAGTCTCTTACAAAAGCCTCAGCTCCCCTGGATGAAGCAAAAAATTGAAACAGTCCATGGCTGATGGCTGCAAAGGTTCACAGAGGCAAGTTTAGCTTGTTGTTCTGCATCTTCTCCACTGCAGTCACCTCATGATATCCAGCCCATCAACATGACAGGTCCACAACTTCAAACCACAAGGGACATCCTTGTTGGGAAATCATTCTGAGAGAAAAGAGAGAAGATTAAATGTCAACATTTAACAGGAAAGCCCTCATTGGAACAGACAAAGGGACAGACAAAGCTTTGACAGAGACACAACTAAACAGCAACAGCTTTGTCCACTCGTGATCCAGTCCTCTCTCCCACAGCCAAGCTACTCTAATGATAAGATCTTCCTCAAGGTGCACACTTCCCCAGATGGGTTAGATGGGGAAGATCCTCTCCCCCAGCAACCATGAACTCATCAGTCCTCACTAGCTTGGACTATTACAGGATGTTTTGCACTTGCTGGTATCCTGGGTGAGGAATGCCTTTGGCATGAATGGCCCACATGGAAGCCCATGGGAGTCTCTCCCTTCAGAAAGATGTCTCTTATATCATCCCCTGCTGCCAGCCCTGTCCCAGTCCAGAAGAACAAGAGCCTCTCAGCCCTTCCTTAACAAGGATCAAGGCCAAAGCAAAGCCCTGTAATTTATGTAAGGCCTCGGTAACTTCCCTACCACAATCCTCCTCAACTCTAGATAAACTCCCACCACCTTGGATTACCAGGCCACAGATGCCAAAGACATTGCTTACCTCCCCAGTCCCAGGCACATCTGGCTTTCCCCTCCATCCAGGACTCCATGTAGGAGCTATTACCCCTTCTGGCTTCCTACCCCCACAGTTCCTTCCCCCTTCCCACAGGAAGTGACACCCAGACTCCAGGTGTTACCATCCTGAAAAACCCCATTCCCATCAACTCTGGTTAGTAACCCCTGCCTGGTGGCTCTCCGCTCAGCCTATTTGGACCAGGACCACCAGACATGGCCTCACTGTTTTCTTGGGGTCCTTTTTCCTCTTCTTGTCAGAGGCATTGAGGTAGGCCTGTTCCCTGGCCCTGTAGGAAGGGCCTCGGCTCAGCTCCCTCTCGCTGTAGGGGGGCAGGCTGTCCTCCTCCTCCTCCTCGTCCTGCTCGGGGGACGACGACTGCTGCGGCTGCGACTTCTCGGCTTTGTAGGTGGAGGGCGGTGACCAGCCATAGTAGGTGCTCCCTCCTCTCTGGCTGGGCTGCGAGCTCAGCTTCGAGGGGGTTGCACAATGGTCACCACTCTCATCGTAGCTCCGGGATTTCCTCTCCAAGACGCTGCTGAGGTAGGAGTGATCGTATTTCTGGCTCCCTCCGGGTGTCCGGCTCACCAGCCTGGGGAAGTGCTTCTCCTCGTGGGCCCGTCTCCGGGGCGGGCTGTAGGACCAGCCCCGATCCGAGTCCGTCAGCGGCTCCCGATTGCCCCTGCAGCGCTTGGTGTAGTATTCCTCCATGGAGCTGTCCTGGTGGGGCAGCCCCCCGCCGCGCCCGCCGTGCGACTCAGAGCGCTCGAAGCGCCGCATTTCCTGGCTGTCCGCCCGCCGCGGCCGCTGGCTGTAGGACTCAGCAAAGGCCGCCAGCTCGTCCATGGACACGGCCGGCACTCCCACGGAGAAACTCTTACGGGACAGCATCTCCGACTTGGATCTCTGCTGGCTGGAAGAGGGAGGAGGTAGAGTTAGAGGGCAGGGTCCAGCTGTGCTCATCCCCTCGGCTGCCTGCACAGACAATGGAGGGAAGCAGGCCCTCCAGGGGGCACGAATCATCTGAGCTGTTTTCATCATTTTCAATAGGAAGAGATCTATCACATCCTTGAAACCCAGGGTTCTCTCTGCTGACTGTAAAGGCAGCTTAGTGCAGGTAGCTCAGGTCCTTCATGTCTAATGTTACTTGAGGTTATCCCCGGGGTGCACCTGCCCTGTCCTCCAGTATGCAGGGCTGGACCTGCTTCTCCTTCATCCGAGACCTTCTATGTGTATATCCTGCTGGAAAAACCCAAGAACCCAGCCATAGAAGCTCACAGCAGGGCAGTTTTGAAGAAGGTTTAAAGACAACTGGTACAATAGCCCAGAACTGAAGGAAGGAAATCCCTGCCATTGCTTTTGGGATACTGGGTTGCTTGAGGGAAGGTTGTGCTATCTCTCTTCTTGGCACCAGAGTGCAAGTCCTTTAGGCCTGGAGCACTGGTCTAACTGCACCAAAGCAGGAGGGTATGACTCCTATATAATAAAGCCCACCAGCACTGGGAAGTGCTGGAGGCATAAGATACAAAGCTCAAGAGAGATATTTGCACTTTCCCACTGTGGGCAGCTTGGCTTGGTTCCCTATTGATCTCACTTTTACATCCCACTGGGACTGGGGCTTGTACCTGGCTTTACCAGCTGGGTAAGCTTCAGCAAGCTTGTGGCAATCAGCTTCATTCTGACCTCATCTAATGACATGTCCAGATTTCCTATTTCTCTCTAGCCCATCTCTCCTGCTAAGCAGAGCAAGGGCAGCAGGAAATAGGGGAGAGCTACCAGTCCATCTGTCCCTTCTGCTTTCCTCACCACTTTGCCAGATAGAGCTGTCCCCCGGCGTGGTGCCCCTCACCTGTGCCAGTAGCTGTCGCGCTCATCCCTGTACTCAGACACAGCCTGTGATCTGGAGGTGCTGCCCCCACCCACGACTCCTGCCCAGTACTCGGCATCACCATCCATGTCCCCCGCGGGGGGCAGAGGTTTCCTCCGCGCCTGACGGTAGGGCTGGCGGAAGTTCAGGTCCTCCTCGTGCAGCGAGCTCAGCTCAGAGACGGTGTTGTTATCTGCAGGGGAGGATGCAGGAGAGAAATGAGATGGGCATCGCCTGATGGCAGCCAGGTGGGGATTCTGAGGGTATCACAAATGGCATGAGATGCCTGTGCTCCAGATAACAGCCTTCAGGAAGAGCTTCCCCCCAGTAATATGTGTGAGCTCCCTGCCCTTGAGAGGTGGTCACCAAGCTTGGTGGGACACCACTACAGCACAGAAGTTGTGCCACCTCCCCTCTTCCTGGTGTGAGACAGGCTGGCTCTGGATTTGGCCTGACTTGCCCAACCTAAAACAAAAGCAACCCCCTCAAAAAAAGATTAAGAAAAAAAGTAAAAGGCTGTCTGAATCACTGTCAGTCTCTACTCCATCAAGCACACTGACATCTGTAGGCCTGACATACCAATCTGCAGAGGTCTTTTTATAGTAAATCTTGTGGGTGGAGAAGACAGTGTGCTCAGCAATGACTGTTTTAGAAGTATATATAATTTGTTCGTTATGCCTAATCTGTAGAGAGCTTTGATGTAGTGTCATTCCTTAAAACCCTTCCCTCCAATGATTTTCAGGATCCCAGATGTCTGTTTTAAGTGAGCCTCTAGCAGTGCCTAACATGGGTTAGCTCTGTGTGCTGCCCACAGGAGCTGAGCCCCCAGCCTGCCACAGGACAAGCAGCAGCACTGCAAGCCCTCCCCACGCACCTTGTCCCATTCTGCACCTCTGCTTCCTAACGTGGAAAGATCCTCACTTGGGTTTGTATTCTCACACACATTAAGTGCAGCCTCAGCCTTTATTTAAGGAAATAAAGCTTACAAGTGGCTGTGACAGTGAGGGGTTCCACACAGTTCTGAGTTTGCACCAGGTCCCTGTTCACCACCCTGCTCCTTCTGCAGGGCAACAGCCACTCCAAACAAACTTCCTGCTTCCTTCAAGCCACGCTGTGGTCACTGCAGCCCACAAAACACACTTTCAATAAAATCACCCCTCTCCTTTTTTGCCATGCTTGGAGTTTACAGGCACCACACTCTTAAGAAATTGTGGAAAAAAAATATCCCAGATATTATCATACCACAGGCTGTAGAAGGTATGAGTAGGGACTTGGCTTTTCAGATACTGATGATCCTAAAGTTTCATTATATGAGTAGACAATTTTCATGAGCTTTTCAGTATCCCTCACTTTGCTCCAAGAATGATTAGGTAAGCACCAGACCTTTAAAATTGGAACATATCTGTAGATACTTAAAATCCAGACTTTATCTGTCCCAATTGGCTTATCCTGGATATCATATCCTAGGGGCTGACCCTGAGGCACACCAAGTGAACTTTAAACTATGAATTTCCCAGTCGTTCTTAGGTCAGTGGGAAAAAAGAAAAATAAATCAAACCATGCTTGTTTCTCACATCGTTCTCGCATCCTTCTAGCCGGGTCAAATTGAGCCAATTCTTTCTCCACATAGTACAGCACCTTCATGGAGTCCCTGTCCTTGTCAGCCTGGATCCTGTACCCTTTGCGCACTGCTAGGGAGAAAAAAAGAAAACATTAGAGGAAAACCCATGTAAGAACAAGGAGCCTTTCCCACAACACTGCTTCTGTAGTTGAGCTCACGTCTCAGCAGGTAGGCTGCGTCAAAACACACTGAGTCAGTCGCTGCTCCACAAGAAATTTGTCTACAGTGTGGGATGTGAAGTTGTAAGAACTTGCATCATTTTGAAATTTTGCAGGAAGAGCAAAAGAGGTTTGGAAATGCCCAGTTTGTACAACCATCCAGTGATGGACACTGAGCATGGTGGGCCATCTTCACAGCACCCCACCCTCTCTTGTGTGAGACAGGCTCGCTCTGGAGTTGGCCCGCTTTTGCCCAGCTAAAACAAAAGCAAAGCCCTCGCTGGCGCAGAGTGATTCCAACTCCCACAGATGACAGCAGAGAGAAAAGAAGAACTCATTTCTCCTTCCTCAGCACTACTGAAAGGATTCCTCATGGTATGGGAGAAGTAGTCCCAGAAGATCAGGGTTCCTCTAAGCTCTCAATCTGCAGGAAAAGCAAGCACCTGAGCATTTGGGAGCTGTCACTGTGCAAGACCACTCCACCCTCCCACCCCCATGAAGTCTCCTCACACAGGTTGAAGAGTGTGTGGCTAAAGCTCCAGAGAATACAGAAGGAAGCACAAAGTCCCACAAAGCACATCACACTGCTTTGAGATTTATACCGACTCCAGGGATGAGGCCAACCAGGTCACTGGTAGCTGTGAAACTCTGCTCTGGAATTCTTTACAAGCTTTACTTTACAGAAAAGGTGTGAAATGCTTGATTCCTGGGAAGTCTGGACAGCTTTTTGCCTTGTCCATGGGCCTATGTAAAAAAGAAGGCCCTATACCCCTGGAGCCAAAGCAGATTTAACTCTGGCAGGTTAGCACCATACACACTTTACCTACTAACAATAGCTACAAACAGCCTGCCTACCTTAAGGCAGGCCTATGGTCAGCAAGCAGAGAACTCCACCTTTCCACTCTTTCTTTGAAGAAAATAAGGTTTTTATAGCAGATTATTTAAGAAAGGTCTCAGCCTGGAGCTATTACAGGATTGATAGAAATTCAGGTCTAGGTACAAGAGAGGACTACATCCCTCAAAAATTCAGCCTTATTAGAGAACCATCATAAGGACAATTCACTTAGCCCTACAAAATGGAACCTGTCTGCCTTGAATGGGGTTAACATGTTCCCTTGTGGGAATACTGCAGTGTTACATGAATGCTCCTGCTGGGGAGCAATTTAAACACTTGGACAGTTGTTCTGAGCCAACCTGTTCCTTCTGTTTTATCCCTCACCACCGCAACACATCAAGCTATTAACATATGGGTTCGGTAGTACGTCGCATAGTATGTGCTGTGTGGGCTGAGCAAGGACTTGGCAGAGGTATTCTTAGGCACCTCCTGCCCTAAACTGCTGAGAGTGTATCTGTGCACTAGGAAATAACCATGCTCTTCCTCAGGAATGGCTGTGCCATAGAAATGGGTAGAGTGATTGATTCCTCCCATAACCCCACAGATTGCTTCAGCGTTCCACTGTGGGTTTGGACTGAGCACGTGTAAGGTGAGTGATTGAGATATTGCCTTGTGTGTCTGCACTTGGGAATGGCATAGGATGTAAAAATATAGTAGGGGTCTATCAGGGTCCTTCTTTTAACGTGCCTCCAGACAGCACGGCTGACAGCAGTGTGTGCTTTATTATCTCTGTGAGTGAATGCACAGTGGCTGGAAATGCAGACAGTGGTTTACAGAACACAAGGAATCCTGCCCCTGCCCCCCAAACAGGAAGAACAGCAGGTCTCCTCAAATGAGGCTGGACTGACTGGCCTCCAAAGTGACAGCCCTGGCTGCACTGCAAGAGCAGCAAGGGCAGTTCTCCACCCCCACATCGTGGCTGGTACCTCACTTCTGTCTGGTACCGTGCCAGGAAAGAGGCCTCTCACTATTCCTTCTTCTAATGTGTGGACTGGAGCTCAGCTAAGCTGCCACCTCATTTATACACAGGCCAGCAAACCACTCTGACCTACTCATAACCTTTGGGGAACTTGAACAGGCAGCTTCCAGACTCTCCCCAGAGCCACTGCTCACATTGAGGCTGTGCCAAATATCTATTTGGGCAACCTCTATAGCTCCTGGAACTGATAGAGAATTAGCTAAGCTTCATGCTAGCTTCATACTAAACTTGCTACTGCAACTCCCTATCAAAAGGCAAATTAATTTCTTGGCTAATTCTGCAAGCACCTAGAAATCAATTTTTAGATTTAAATCTGCAAAGATGACTGCGAACAGCTCATAAAAAGTATTTTGCACTACAGAGGAAGCAGTTTTGTCTCTGTTTGTTTATTAAATATTTCTCATAATGATACTAAATATTCAACTTATTAAATCTCTTCATTATTCCCTCAGCTGAGAAATAAGAGATATTATTGCTTCTTCCTCACACTCTTCATCTGTAAATTGCTATAATCCTTTAATCAGGTCTGAATCATTTTAAGACCATTTTAATTATAAAGAAAAAAAGATGCAGAGATGTTGACCACATGTCCAGAACCACTTGCTGAAATCAAAGGGAATGGAACATTCTTCCCATATTTTCTTCTTTTGAACAGTTCATAAATTTCTAATGTTTAGTTTGTATTTAACTAGACACTATTTTTATTCTTCTGTGGGTGGAACCAACACAGCCAAAACTGTAAGCTGTCTTCCTGCCCAGAAAGGACACCACTACTATTTTTTCCAGACAAGTATGTTTAGGAAGTAAATGATGTCTCATCCTTATACCCTTCTCATGTTAAAGATCTAGGACCAAAAGCTTCCCTGTGTGCAGAGTTTGAAGGATCAATGCAAGAGCCTCTAGGTAACCACTGCATTTAAAATAGAGCATTAATCCTAACTTAATGTGTTGTCAACACTCTTCTAAATAAGAGAGCTAAATGTTTTGGTGTTTTTTTCTCCATTCCTATTATATATTCCATATCCTAAGTTTAGGATAGAGTTCCTAGGCTCATTCTGAGCTTTGCCACATGGCTTTTATATAACCCCAGACAAATTTTCTAAATATCCTCAGGCCCAAGTTTGCTCACTCAATCCCCTCACAGGGGTCATTTATAAGCACAGACTCTATCTAGGGCAAAGGATGTCATTTTTAGCCAGAATTAACGAATCCTCCAGCACTTTTGATCCCATTTTTTTCAAATGGACTTGACAGAAAGGTTGAAATCCCAAAGATACAAGTTTCAGATCAGACCTACACCAGCTGTATGGAGGACACAAAGGCTTTTTATTCTCCTTCTGAGAAAGGCTTTCATTATAAACTCAACCATCACCTGTTTTGTTTAGGTTGCTGCCTGGCCAACAAGCAAATAAGTAGCTTGGAAAAGCCACACAATGTTTTCTCTTCTACAGCCTGTCATTAGGGGATATTATAGCATTGTGGAGGACCTTATGTGTAAAAGAACAGAGTACAGGCTGTAACTCTCCCATAGCCCCACAGCTCAAGCACCTTGAACAACAGGTCCATGATCCAGACTAAGGGTTTGTCCATATTATTGCAAAAAAGATTACCAGATTTTTAAAAAAGCTTAAGAATCTCTGTTGTCTTGCAACAAAGGTTAAAGCTCTGTGATAATGTTTTTATTTGCCATATATACTATTTCCTGTCAAGTCCTGAAGTGAGGGATTGAGTCCAGACACTTTATTTGGATGCATTATATATTAAATGCATCCTTCTGTATAAGGATCATGGCATCCTAAGAGCCATTCCATTTGGCTACCAAATGTATACTCTGTTTTTTATTCTGAACTTGTGCTCTGCTAGTAGAGACAAGACTGGGAGCTGTGATCTGACTCTTAAAAAATCCCTGGAGTTCCCACAATCAGAACCACACTCTATGTGCAGTGACATTTTTCACAGGAGAAAGAAATTGAAGCACTGGGGTGTCATTCATCATTTTCTGACAAAGGTTTTTGAATTGGATATGTTCTGCATTGGATCAGTGATTGATTTATTTCCTGTTTCAAAATGCTCCATTCCAGAGCTCTGTTTTGATTTCAGTGGCCAAAAAAAAAGGTGTGATTGTTGAAAGAAAATATGTTTTGTAATTCCAGAAAGGTTAATTTCAGAAAGGTTAATATACTGACTGGGGCAGCAGAAGCATCTGTAGGGTTGTTCCAGAAGCTTAATTAATTATGCTATTTAATCTTGTCTTTTCAGATGTGTTTTATCAACATGCTGTCATGAGTTAATTTAACAATTGATACTTAGTGTGGTGCTTTGAAATCAGACTGTAGCTGGGTCAGTGATGACTCTACATTGGTGAGAGTTATTTCTGCTGCAGAATGTTTGAATTTAGACAGCCACTCTGATTCTGGAATGCATGTGGCTAAATTGCTGCCCTCTTTTCTCCTTGATGGCAGCTTCCTTTGCAGCAGCAGAAGTGACCCTCCCTGAGACAAGAGGCATCACACTGACACTCTAGGTCTGACACAGATCCACAACTCCTTTCTAGTCACGAAGCCTTTCATCACCCACGTTTCACAAATGCAAAGGCTGAACAAGAAAAGTGGCCTACTGATTTCTGTAGAGGACAGGGTCCAGCCCCACAAGATCTTGGGCAGAAATATCAAGGGAATAGGTTACTTTGCCCAAAATGCCATGGGGACAGTAAAACATGCTGCAGCAAAAACTGCTGCCAGAGGCCAAGCAGTGCCCTGCAGAGGGTTGGAAGGACAGTTTACAAAGAGAAAGCAGCTTGCAAGGCATCAGCTCTAAGGGGAAAATGGCTCCTGCCTCTGCTCTCCTGAAATCATCTTTGTCCTTTTGTCCTCTGCAAGCCAAATGTCTGCAGCAGTAATGACAGGGGTCCTGTACAGGGACTTGGCCTCCCATACCCTCCTGACCTAATTAGGCACCCACAAACTGACTCTGTGTTGATGGCCCTAGAAAAGTTAGACCATGTGGCCCTAATGCAAATGTCATTGTCAGAGAAAGGATTAAAATTTCCCTGTGTTTCTTCTCCTCACACCACTCAATCAGTGACAATCATTCCTGCCCTTCCCAGCCCCACTCCCAGTAAGAGGACTCAAAGTTGTGCCTGGCACTGCAAATTACCATTTTGGCTCCCTCCGCTGGCCTCACTAGGGGCTAAGGGAGGAGGGTGTGACTTATCCATCAGCACAGCAGGAGATGGGACACCAGCTACAGGAACACTGGGGATGTAGTATGGACCTGGCATGGCAGAGACTGCAGGGGGGTACCCAGCTTTTGCTGCTTTGCCTGCTACATACACTGAAAAAGAAAAAAAAAAACAAGAGTCAGCATCACACACCAGCACCCCACAGATCCACTGGACATGTGGATGAAACCTGCACCAACATTGGTAGCGATCCCACAGGAGACAACCAGACAAATGAATTAACAAGGACCAACCTAAATTTCTCTAAGCCTCAAAGGGTACTGAAGGGAGTTTAAAATATGTACTGCATGTAATAATAATGGCACTGCGAGATGCCCAGAAAGACACTCAGGGTACTACAGCCAACATGATTTAGTGGCAGTTCAGCTTTAAAAATAACTGATGACTCAAGCAGCAGGATGAGGCTCATGGAACTTGACAGATCTGACTGAGCCTGACCAGGAACCTTGCTGGGTTGCAAGGATTTTGCCCTCTCTGTTGTAGAGGACATCTGATTTGCATTGCCAGGAAGAAACCTCCCAGGATGCTCTTAGCTCTGACCCTCAACATTCACTGACACAACAACAACTTTGGAATGGGAGCATGACACTTTGGAAAAGCAGACACAGCTGCCAAGGCAGGGAGGGCTTGGGGAATTACATTTGTAATTAACTTTGAGCGTTCAACCATTGAGTAATAGGTCAGATGCTTCACTCCCTAAGAACCAGTCCTTTAGCCAAGCAAAGTGCTCAGGGCAAAAGAAGCAATATTAGCAGATTCTCCCCCTGTTCTGCCAGGGAGCAGAAGTAGCAGGGCAGAAGATGTGCACCAGGCTTGGACAGGGTCACTCACGCGCCCGGGGACAGCAGCAGGACTCAGGACAGCAGGGGCAGCGGACGTAACAGCAGCAGCTGTGCGGGCAGCACTGGCACCAGCAGATCCCCACCAGGAGGAAGAACAGGAATGCTCCCAGGATCACCAGGCCCACAAAGACCCACTCTGGAAAACAAGGGGAGAAAGGGAGATAGTTACAGGACTGCACATTGCTGTGGAAGAGAACATCAGCAACATCCTCCCAGTGGAGAGCATGGGGACAAAACACACAGGTGAATAACAGAAGAGGACCGATTCCCTGTGGGTCTAGGACTACGATTACTCCTCTTGTGTCAAAGCAGAAATGGCACGTGACAGTGAGAAACGAGCTACAGAAATGTGGTCCCTTCTGGCAGCATCTCTGGCTGGCTGAGAGGCAAGCAGCAGAGACAGGAGCCCCGGTTCCCCGGCCAGAAACCCTTCGTCCCACAGCAGACCCGCGCCAATGCCGCGGGATGCGCTCCATTAGCAGTTGGCCCTCATCAAAGACTCATTCTTCTTGGCCATGTTCATGCCCTGCTTATGTGTTTGTTCCCTACCAACATTCCGGTTTTAATGGGACAAATGATGGTGAAAAGCAGGCTATAAATAGCCCAGTAAACGAGCCAGGCCTGCCCCTTCACAGCGAGGCCTACGCAAGCAATTATCCTTTTGAATGTTTCGAACGAACATCCTATTCAGGCGCCACAGCCAGCCAGCAAACCTAACAACCACCTTTTTTGTCCCCCACCGAAGCCTCAGATGATGTGTCCCAAAAGGGAGCAGCTGAAAAACACCCTACAAATGAAAGCACGAAAGAGCTGGCCCACAAAAACCAGGGTGGGGCTTAAAGGGGAAGGGGAGGGAGAAAAGGTTTCTCAAACTTTGCTGCTGGAAAATCTGGTGGGAGCAGGGCTCAGCCTGTGCCAGAGCAGCACCTACTGCCCCATAGGAATTCCAGACTAAGGGAATGATCAGTGAACACATCTGGACCAAGAAATCACAAGACCCTGAACATACAGGAGGCCTGGAGCTGGTTTTATGTCAGAGAAATGCACCAACCTATGTCAAAGCAAGACTGCTGGTGGGAAAAAGGCTCCAGGTGTACCCGGGTGGTTATTCAACCCCCTTGGAAAAATCAGAAAAAGCAAATAAAGTGGGGTTGCTTTGCAGTGGGAAAGGGTTTATCCCCACTTCAGAGAACAAAAAAGCAGCATACCACTATTTCCAAACAGAAGTCCACGGTCCACTAAAGAGTCTCCTGGTAGAGAATTATTTGAGATGAAGTATCGATACGAGGATTGCAATGTGCATGAAGAATCACACAGGGAAAACAGTGCACCCCTCACCTGTGTTGCTAAGCTAAAAAGTCAAGGAAAAATGTTTCACTTGGACCATTCAAAATAGAATTTTTTCCTAGTTCTTAATACAGCACAAAAATAAGAAGTGTCATTTTTGATCCATCGGCAGCGTTCTGTTTGAACAAAAGTATGATTCTTTACTTTGCTGGAGTCTTCCTTAACTCTTCTACAAACAATTCCCCTTTTTAAAAATGCCATTTTAAATCTAGAATTTAAAATTTCCTTTGAAAAATGTCAGTCAAAGATCTGGCATCGACAAATCAAAACACTTCAGAAGTGTGAAGTGAAATATTTTAATTTTTTTTAATTCTTTGTTTCTTTTTTGGCTGACACAGATGAATTTCATTTATATTTGCATTTAATTTTGGTCCCTATGGAATATTTTTTTGGGGTTGAACTTACTATATGCTGAGAAAAAATGAGCTAACAAGTAAGGAAAGGGCAGAAGGGAAGCATTCATGAATAGGAAAGCACGAGCTGAGAGATTACTGACACAGTCCCTCAAGTTCTGCTTCTAGCAGCTGTTTTGCTTAATATTTTCATAAATTACTTTGACACAGAAAATAAGAATGTGTTAAAATATCATGACAGTAAGCAGTAGGGATGCATTGTCAATAAAGGCTGGGACATGTACAAAGAGTCTACTTGGGTCTACAATAGGAGATGTGAAATGCAGTATTATCCTGAATTTCAAAGTATGCAGCAACGCTGTTGCATACCTGTCACACCAGTATCACAAGTTCAAAGATCAAGAACAATTTATTTTCTGAACAGGACTTCACTGGTTGAAAAGAACTGAAAAAAAAGAGAAATGATCCAGTACACATAGGATTACTCAGGCAATACAGCCACCAAAAATGGCAAATGTAGCCCTAAATATTTGTAATCAGGGAATGTAATAATGTAATAAGGGAAGAATTTCCAATAGTATTAAGGAAATATCAATGCCATCACACAAGGCCTCCTCTCCACTTGACTTCATCTGAAGTTACTGATGTTATACAGCTCTGGCCATCTTTGCAGCAGAAAAGATGAATTTAGGTCGATGGAAAGCAGGGATTTGAGGGATGAAGAGACTGTGGAGCCTGCTTGGCAGCAGGGGAGCTGAAGCCTGCTGAGTTACTCTATTAAAGAGAAGGCTGAGGGAAGATGTAGCTCCTGCCTGTAAATATAGTAGGAGGATAAATGCAGGAGGAAAAGCAGGTATTATAGTTAAAAGATCTTACATAAATGGACAGAAATAGATGATCAGTGATGTAGAGAGAAGCTAAAAGAAGCCCATCAAAGAAAGTGATCCAATGGGAAAGAGAAAGGCCAAACCTTAGGCCACTCCTAAGCTTGCCAAGCTTACAGAATGGATGAAATTACATGGTGCTGGGGATGGAATGCAAGATAGGGAGCCAGACTATCCTTTCCAGTCCTGTATTTCCTAATCTATGCCAATCTAAGCAACAGCTTAGTGGCTTTTTCTTTGTTGTGTTCTCATCTTGTTTTCTACAACCATCATGGACACAGAAAAGGAGGTGAAACAGTACTGCTTGATACAAGTGGCCAGCCACAGCTATCCAGTGAAACTCAGATGTCAGATGTCCAGAGCTATTAGTGAACAGTTCACAACCACTCCATAAAGGGTAAAAGCCTGGTGGAGGAAAAAACAGACAGCAAGTCCATTAGAAGTGTATCTGTGGTCTCCCTGAACACATTCTAGCAGTACAAAAGGGGGTCAGGTTAGTGTGTACATTGCACATTGCAGGATACTCACTCAGCATACAAAGTGGATGTTTGAAATCAGTGTCCCAGCCACAGGGACCTGTGAGTCAGGATTTTACTGAACAGGAAGTTAGACCATCTCCTTTTCTGATGAGGTCAAGAAAACAGCAAAAAAAGGCTGTTGGCTCTTCCTTTATGCACAGAACTGGGATTCAACCAGCTCCCCCTGTGTAATGCTGAGATTCAAATGACTACCAAGCTGACACGCTCAGTGTCCTTGCTGTCTGGAAACTACTGGTTTGTGCTTGCAGAAGTATCTGCTTTTTTTTACTCAGGTAACATCAAACAGCAACTGCTGAAATGTGGTTTGCTGCTGCATCTTACACTTTCTTGTTGTCTACCCATGCAGCAAGGGTACCAGAAAGATATATGGCCAACACACCATAATTTTATACCCATTCAATAAAATTCTAAATAACAGAGGGAAAAGTGTTAGGCAATAGAGAATCAACTGTTATCTATGCTGAAAAGACCAATCCCTCTCCTGCCATGCAGGAATTCTAGGGAGCTCTGGGTTACATTGGAGGTGGGTGAGTGTCTGCCTTCTCTTCGTTTGCATCTCTGGGACAGGCTCGAAAATAGCTTCACACATTTATGTGGAATTGCATTTTTGCACAAAAGTGTGAAATAAATGCTCCTCAGGCACCACTGGGGAACGATCAGATGACTTGAGGGCTAAATATTCTCACAGCTTTTCCCTTTCAAGAACAATCTGTTGCACAGCCTCTGTCTCCTCTGCAAGGAGTGCCAGAAGTGGTGGCTCTCGCTAGTGTTGGCTAGCAAGGGATTTGTCACGGAGCTCTCGCGTCGGGGCCAGCCACCCGGTGTTGCCGAGATCACGGCCTGGCCATGCAGCACAAGAGGGGCTGTGCCACTGATGGGTTGCTAGCCAATGCTCTGTTCCCAGCACCTCCTGTGCTACCATCTGTGGGGATGGTGGAGCAGTGGCACAGGCCAGGTCTGGGGAGCTGAGTGACTGCACAGGAGCAGCTGACCCCACAGAGGGCTGTGGGGTCTCACAGGCTGCAGAACAGATTCCTCTGTGCTAGCAGGGGGAGAGCAGAGAGCTTGATAGAAAATCTCCCCAGAACAGCTCTGGCATTTCTGCTCTCACACTGATCCTGGCATGGCATCAACCATCTCTGCATGCTGGCTCCCAGCATGGCCCGGCATCAGCTCTCTCAGATCCGAACCCAGCGCTTCCCCAGTAAGTGACAGACTCTTCTCTTTAAATCCCCAGATAAAACACACACACAAGTGAAACATACACCACATAAAGATGCTGCAGAAGGATAAACAGACAAGATGACAGAGGAATAAATGATTAAGGGTGAAATGACTGAATACCTGGCATAATCTCCACAGCAAAACTGGGCAAGAGATCAGCAAGCAGCCCTGTCCTGCCTAGAAAAGACAGAAGGAGGAGAAGAAGGAGAGAGGTTACTGCAAGAAAACACACTCCCCAGCCCCTGCCTTAGCCTCCAGTTCCCTTCCTCATCAGCCCACTTGCACTCTGCGTTATGTGAATTTCTATCAACCACAGATGTCATCCTGCTCGGTGCCTGGTGTCTGCCTCTGCACTTCTGCCATTTCTGTGTCCTTGCATTTTATCTTTATCAGCAGAGCTGGGGGGAAAGAATCTGGAACAGAGCATCTCCAATCTAGACACAAAATGACAAGAAAAAGGAGTCCCTTTAGCATGGTTACATGGTAACATCTTCCTGGAGTTATGCTCTACACATGCAAAAGCTCCTGGAAATGCACAACAGCCCTTAAACAGAAGGACACGGTTTATTTTAAAAAGTACTGATGTAGTCTCTACAGAGATGAAACATCTTTTACCCAAGGCTATTGATAAATCAGCCGCATGCTTCCAAAACCCATGGATGCTGCTGTCCATGTGGGGCTCAGTGAGTGCACTGACAGCTCCAGGAAAGGAGCCTTGAAGGAATGTTGTGCATATGTGCTAATTATTTGGAGATGCACGAGCATCTTGGTAAGACTGTGACAAAGGCCAACTCCCAGTGGAAGCAAACCAACAAGGGAAAGATTTGTGTAGAAATTTGTGGTATCACTTTGCAAAGGAAAAAGGAAACAAACAAAAAAAAAGGCAAGTCAACTTCAAATTTATAATTCACAACCGAATACAAACAAACTCCAAGCCCAAAGGCAGCTCGGTGTCAGTTTGTTTTGGCACAGAATGTCTGGGATATTTCCAGTACACAGCAAACACCCTGCACAGTGCTCAGCTGTAATTTACACACACCTGTGCATTGGCAGAACAGCCCTGAGCGCAGCTGTGCTGTGAACTCTCCCATAGAGCCCCAGGATCATGCTGGGATTTTTAAAGACATGCATATGGTAGGAGAGCTGCAATCTGAAGAGAGACACACATTGTGGGCATAACAACGGGAGCAGCTAAGGGTAAGCCAATGCAAAAGTGGTAGAAAGCTACCTTTAACCTCCCCACATGCCCTCCAGGTCCTGCACTACGCAGCACTCAGACACAGTGATGAACTGGATCCCAAGTTCCTCGGCCTCTAGTCTGTCCTTGAAGGTTATTACAATCAAATTCCCACCATCCGTTTTCTCTCAGTGCTTCAGCAGAGACTCTGTAGAGATCAAAAATCCACAAGGAAGCCTGCTGGAGCCATAATGAGTATACCATGGCTTCAGGCAGTGCTTTGCAGCCAGTTGCAACTCATCAAAGCTGACTGGTACTCACAGGGACGCCCATCCTGATGAAGTGGTGCCGAATCCTTAGCAAAAGATAGCAGGGTGATGCTTCACATAACTGCTCCCCATTTACCACTTTGAGGGAGGACTCCTGCCACCAGTCTGCTGCAACATTTTTATCTACATTTACAAAGAGTTTCATGACATTCTTTGCAGTCCAGTTCCTGGAAGGATCAAGTATCCAAGCCTCTCACAACTAGCATGTTATGTTCCACGTGCACATTAAGTATATTCCTTATTCTGATAAAACAATACACAATTCTTTTGCAGGCCTCTGTGTGCATATGTGAACAGCACCCACGTGAACCACATGCATGCAGAATATGGGCAGACATGAGCATGTAGCTCACCTCCCATGTGTTATTACCTCTGCACAAGCTCACATGCAGCCTGTTTGAGAGCAGATGCCACTGGACAAATTGCTGGAGGTACATAGTTAACTTAGGGCTTTTATTCGTGGTTAAAAATGCACACACAAGGAAATGACACCTTTAAGCAGCAGAAACTCCTTCTCAAATGGCCACTGACAAATGGGTGCCTCTTTATTTTAAACCTACCTGGAGAGGCTCGAGCCCTGTTAGTGGTGGGTACTTTCTGATCTCCAAGAGGAATCACATGTCCAGCAAGGAAAAACATCCCTCAATATAACAGTGCCTGAGAACTTGGTGAAAACAAAGACAACCAAAGCAGCTCTTCTGTGCTACACACAAACAGCCAGTATTTCCCTGCTTGTGCAGCCTCACTTGGCTTTTCAGAGTGTCTGCCTGGGGAATTTGCATCCCTGCCCTGCCAAGGGGACTCACACAGCCCTGGGGGCCCCAGAGCCTCCAGCAGGGATGCACAAAGCCTGGGAGGACCCAAGGCAACAACAAACCCCACCACAGCTCAGCCTGAACTCTGCCTGCCTGGCCCAGCCCAGCTGACAGCACAATGCCCACCCCCGGACTGCTGCAGCTTTCCACAGCTCAGCCCCCGCCCCGGGCTGAATTAATCCCCTGATAACCTTTCCCCAAACCATTCCTTCAGGGAAGCCAACAGGCTGAGGCTGCCTGCAGTTGCCCCAGCAACGGGAGGCTCCCACCATTGTCCCTCATTGAAGACAACTTTCCTCCCTCTGCTGCTGCTGCTGTCAGCAACAAGTGGAGCAAAACCCCTGGGCACAGGGACAGGGTGACTCAGGGCAGGGCAGGGCTGCCACTGGCTCTCGCCTCCTGCCCTCTGCAAGCCTGGCCCACACGTGGGCACAGCCCAGAGACAGCTCGTGGCCATAGAGGGGATCCCAGGGCAGCACCCTGGTGGGTCACACACTGCCCCAAACACAGGGCAGGGTGTCCTTTTGGATCCATGGCTGTAACAGCAGGCAGGCAGAGCACCCATGGGCAGCACCCACCCATCTCTCCTTGCCTTGGATGCTCCTTCCCTGGGCTCTAAGCTCACCTCCTTCTCTCTCGTTTTTTTGGGTTTTTTTCAAGGAAATTTTAAAGTGGATGCTGGGGCTAGATAGCAAGTGCTGGGGAAGAAACAATTCAGTAAAACATCCTGCCAAGAGACCGTCTGGCCATACCACCTCTGCACAGCAGCTCTGCCCTCCTGAGGAAGGGCTGCAGGAGCTCCAAGCCATGCCTGGGCACCACTGCTGAGTCACAGATCTGTGTCCCCACCCACAAGAGCTTTGTGTCCTCTGTGCAGCTCCCACCACCAAAGGGATAGAGGGAATAGACAATGGCCCTGTTTTCCAGGGTTATCCCAGGTGACTAGGTCAGAGCTAGGAGCTTGTCCTCATTCTGCAAGGATCTGGGACATGTGCCATCTCTATTCCTACCATGCTGAAGGGTTTTACCTGCCCAGAGTGGCCTCTCAGCAGGCACCTCACACGCCCCAGGCCCCAGCCAGACTTGAAATGCAACGGAGCTCGCAAGCCCCCCAACTGCACTGGCAGAGCACAGGAGGAGGAATGGGAGAGGAAAAGCTGAGGGGATGCAGAGCAGCTCCAAGAGGTGCAGACACACAGCAGAGGCGAGCGAGGACAGGAGTTAATACACAGGAGGCAGGCAGGCAACAGAGCAGTGAGCAAATAGCAGCGGAGCAGGGGAGACCTGGAGTCAAGCACACAATTAGCAGAGAGTCTGCAGAGAAGAGACACAAAAATAATTAGGGTAAGTGGTGCAGCTGAAAAGAAATGATGGCATGAATAAAGCAGGCGCAGGTGCAGTCAGAAACGTGGCGATTGGGTAAATATGGGAACATGGTGAATACTGGCAACCGCATAAATGTGATAAATATTGGGTAACTATGCTAGTAACTGCTGAACTGTTTGCCTGTTTGAAGGCTGCTTCTGCAGCCCAACCTGCTGCAGTGGGATCACAGGACACAGCAAGTACAGAGGGAATTATTTCCTTCTCAGTGGTGGAAAACTTTGCCAAGCCATGCCACAGCAAGAGGCCCCTGGCAAGGGACACTGTCCTGAGGAGAGCCTGGAAAGCACAGGAAAGGAAGTGTAGCCCTTGTAAATCAGACACTTTTCCAAGGCAGCTGCTGTGAGATTTATTGGGGGAGCATGGCTCTGCAATGAGTTCCTCTGTGCTCCCTCTGCTTGGAGTAAACTTTATCCTTTCTTCCCATCCTTCTCTTCAATTGGACAGAGAAACAGCAGCAGCCCCTTTTGGAGATCAAAGTTTTAGCAGGCTACAAAGACCTCCAAGGAGGCGGTTGCCATGGCTGCCTTAGTAACCACGGCCTTTTAATCACACCAAGTCTCCTTTGTGAGCAGCGTGTGGCTGTCGCTGGCAAATAAGGAGGAAAACAGGGGTAAAAAGCCTTGGCAACAAGTAGCACTTCTAATCGGTGTGAAATAAATAACCAGGAGTAGGCTGGGGTAGGACGAGGGGGACTGGAAGCAGGTTACAAAGGCAGAGTGGTCTGGGGCAGTGCATCAACACTTTCCCGGGATTTTGAAGAGGAAGGCTCCTGTGCCAATCACTTCCTTCCCCTGCTGGCACTACCCACCTTTGGTCACAGCTCAAGGTCAGCGAGCCCTCCTCCGTGGGGCTGCTCACAGACATTTTCCCAGCTGAGATGTGGGCCAGCACATCCCCAGCACAAGGCCACCAGCACAACTCTGCCAACTCCTGTGACCGAGCACTGGCTCAGATGCTACTGGCAGCTTTTCAGCAAACGAGAGCAAAATCCTAAAACCAACATCATGTAAGGGAAAATTTTGCCAAGAACTTTTCAATCTCCGAAATCATGTCAAATTTTATTATACAGTCTCTCCTGGCATAAAAGAGACTCCAAACCTGGCTATATTTATACCAGCTATTGAGTCACTTTGCTGAGTAAGAACTGCCTTATTAGCATTGCACACCATACACACGTGTCCCAGTGGAGATTTATCCTCACTGAAAGTCAACACATGTCTCTATTAGTATATTAATTACTGTACAATATGCTGTGTGTATATGTATCTACTTGCTCTACTTTATATCCTTTACTACTTTTACTATGGGTGTGAGACTTTTTAAATTTTGGGTTTAGTCTACATGGATACTGACTGGTAATATAAACTGGAGAAGATGTCTGTTTACCAGTGTTAGTTGCCAGCTGTCTGTAGAAATTAACACAAACCTCAAGTGCTAATTGTTGTTATTTAAAGCATAATAATGGGAGAT